TGGCCAGCCGGCCGGGCACAGATTTTAAAGGGGCGATTGCATCGAGGGCGCGACGGGCCGCCGGGCGCCGCGACCCGCGACCCGCGACCGCCGCACCACCACCAGCTCCCGCCGCCACGCCGCGCCACGACGCGCTCGAGATTTTAAGCGGTGATTAAACTATTATGGGGGTAGTCATAAGAGAGCGGTGTTGGAAGTCGCCACGGTGGGTGAAGGGGAGCGGCGCGAACAGGCCGGGGCCGGGGGGTTGGCGCCACGGGGGAAGACCCTCCCGCACACTAGCGGCTCATATTGGCCAGGATCGACGGCCTCCTTGACGGCGGCCTCGACGTCGAGGTCGACGCTGGCGGCGGTCGTTACCCCGCGACCGGCGTGGGGGCCTGACCGTATGGGCAGTCCTGAGCACGCGTGCCCACGCCCCCGCCATGCCCTCCGCCCCCGCCCCGCCCCCGCGCGGAAACCGGGATTCGGAAGTAACACAGGATTTGGCCGTCTTACCAGTGCATCTGCATCGCGCATGACTCAAGGAGTGCAATGCAGTGCCGTTGGATGCCAAGGTCAAAGGATATCCGGCGGGGCACGGCGCGCGTCTGGCCTGGCGGCTCCGCCGCCTCCCTCCCTGCCGCTCTCCCCCTCATTTCATTCTTTTTCGGTCGCGGAAACACCGGGCCGACCGGGCATCGAACCGGCCGCGAAGGAGGCAAAGGGGAGGGGGGCGCTTCCAGCAGCTGCTTGCAGCTGACTGCAGCTGAAGCCAGGGGGGAGTTGGCAGGGGAGCTCCTTGCCCTCCGCCGAGGCGGACCGCACCGACGTCTGCGTCCTGGCCTCCAGCCTTTAGACGAACGGGACGAGTCCAAAAGTCCGCCCGGCCGCAGGGCGGAGGGCGAGGCGAGGCGAGGGCCCCTTTCTTCGGCTCGCCCGCCGCCCCCGCCGCCCCGCGATGCGACGACGGCGGGGTGGCCTGAGGTAAGGGCGCGGGGGTGCCCCCTCCGGGAGGGGTAGAGGTGCCCCTCTTCAGCCCCCGCGACCGCGGCGGCGCTCGGGCCCGGCTCGGCTGCACGCTCGGGCCTGGCTCGGCTCGGCTCGGGCCGGCTCGGCTCGCTCGCGCACCCCCTCCCCGGCCCCGGGGGCGGGCCCTAGCGGCTCCGACGGCACGGATTGCGGCCGAGGCTCCTCCCATCCGCCCCCCACCACTCGGCCGGCACCAGTCGGAGGCGGGGAGCAGCGGGGAGCTCTGCCGAGGCGCAGGACCAGGACATGATAGAGCAGAGACAGGACAGCGCTCCGCCGTGCAGCACGCGGACCGAGCGAGCACCGCATCCTCGCTGTGTCTGCGTGCGTCAGTGTGTGTGTGTGTGTGTCATCAGTGTCGGCGTGTGCGTGTGACAGTGACAGTGAGAGTGTCGGTGCGCCCGTGCGGTGGATCGGTTCAACGCGTCGAGTGAAAACTTGTGTGTGACTCCTGTCATGGAGACAACCTCATCCGCCCATAGGACTTAAAGGACATAGTGGCGCCCACAGAGACATGCCGAGGACCTCGCCAAGGACGTATTACCGGTAAGGGCGCAACTGCCATCCCTCTGGGACTATCTATCTATTTGGAACTTCCCAATTCCCCCTTTATGTCAACCACGCGTTTTACTGTCAGTTGGAAACAACGTATAGTAGTACGATCTGCCTGGTGTGTGTCACGTGTCATCTTCAATTTCATATGGAGGCAACGATGGTTGATTCCATAAATAGACAGAAAAATATAATCAGCATGTCGTGAGCGGCGTTTTGAAGGATGGCCGAGTCCAGGAGGGAGGATGGTTCGACGTCCTCGCCGCGGCAGGGCGCAGCTCACTGGCGCTCGGCCACCCGCGCATTGAAGGCTCCGCCGCAAAGTGTTTTTCCTTATTTCCATTTTGCCGTGATCTGCTGCTCCCCTCAAAGAATGTCACCTTCGGTGACGCCTGACAGCAGCAGCCGTAGGTGATGATGTGACTTTGGCCGCTGGTGGAGATTAGCCGCCGTGTGACGTGTCCACCGCGGGGCCTAACGTCCGGTAGGGGGTCGGGTTGTGGCATCCGTTGGCACGCGCCGGCCGCGGAGACAAGGATGTGTGTGTGTGTGTGTGCTTGTGTGTGTTTGCCTTCCGGGATTAGCAGGCAGGTCAAACGCGCCGCCTTTTGTTTTCTCGTATTAGGTGAAGGTGTGTGTGTATGTGTGTGTGTACATGTGAGCGTGTCCTGAGCAGGTAGGAGGAGGTTGAAGTTTGTGCAACCCCCTTAGTGCTGCGACATTATGATGTTGTTCTCTCATACTAATCTCGCTATAAACATAAGAATTTGGATAACCTCTAATGTTTTAGAAAATTAACGAAAAAATAATCATTACACCGAGGACACGCGGTCTTAACAGACCCCAAATCGGCCGAATCACGTGTAAGTTACTTCGTACGCATTGTAGCCCGGCGGGCGAGTATAGGCAACCCGCCCGCACCTCTGCATTCAGGTACAGTCTACCTTGGGAGAGTACGGCGCAGGCCTACCGCCCTCCTGTGCCCCGGCACGGTCTGCGGCAGCCGTTTCCGTTTGTGTGTTTATACCTTTTACCCTCTCGGGCGCGATTTTCCCGCGCTGATGATCGAAAGTCGTTTGCGGAGCGTCATCAGCGCCCGTCGAGGGGCCGGCCGGTCCCCTAACGAGCCCTAACGCCCGAATCGTAACATCGTTAGCCCAGCGTTAGCCGGCCATGTGTTTGGGCACGCGAGGAGGTGCGTGGCGGCGCGCTCCTCGGCCTCCTTGGGGCGGGGTGTCGCAGTCCGCTACCCTTGATCTGAAACACAGGCTGCGGTTGCGGTGCTGCGACACTGTTCGGCGGCGCCGCCGAGAAAATGCAATGCAATCTCCACTCCCAAATAAATTTCCCTGAAGACTACTGTGTCCGTGTGTCCGTATTGAAAATTTTAATTTTCCAAAGAAATATTTTCAGAAACTGCCCTCAAACATTGTTACCAGATTTATAAATTTTACGGACTAAATAATTATCAATCAATCAATTTTTATTTCTGGAAAAATGATAGAAAAATATTTTTTTTTTTTTCTAGAAAGTTCCGTTTTTTTCTTCGAAATTTGCCGATTTTTGAATTCCTTGTCGGGCTCGCCCGCCGCGCGCTTCTGTTTAGCCTACCCCGACCAGTTGTTGTTGATGTTGGTTGTTTCCAGAAGGCGTATCGGCCGGGCCACGCCGCGCTACGCCACCGCCGCCGCGACCGCCGCGACAACCACCCAGGTGATGACGAAATGTTGCAATCGAGTTAACGGTCTAATGAAGGGCTCCGCCGGGCTTGGCCCGGGCCAACGAGCGCGGCCCTCGAGAGGCAAACATAAGCGAGGAGGGGTGAAATGACAGCGTACGCAGCCAAATGATTGCGAAGTCCGCGCGTTTTCCACAGTCGTCGTCGTGGTTTGTCAACGCATGACCTGGCCTGACGGAGGCCGCGGCGGTGGCACCAAAGGGTGTGGATGGGATTAAGATCCTCCTACGGGAGGAAACTGACGCTTCGCGCCCGTACGCCGGTCGGTTCGGCCCTTCGAAAAAGTAGGTCGAGATAGTGCATCCCTCGACGGGGCGGGTTGTTTCGTAGAAAGGCGGCTAGACGAGCGGCAGAGGGAGGGCCGAGCGGCGGGAGCGGCGGACCCAGGTAGGCGAGGCAACACAATGTCGCTCTTTGATTCCCCCTGATAAACTCGTCGTACATGTTTGCGGATCAATATTTGTCTTCCCTTTGAGCCCCCGCCGCGCCCTCTGGCTGGAGACTGGAGAGGGTTGTTTTCCGCCCCAATCTCCTCCCTCTCGGTTGTGGATGTCGCGGAAGAGGTGTGCGCGAAAGTGCTGTGCTCTAGCGGGTGCTCTAGGCGCCGCTAGGGCTGACTTGCCCCTGTGCTCGTGCCAGGCCTCGCGCTACGACCCCCCTTTTGCCACCCCTCCACCCCCACCCCCTGCGAACGCCACTTTCCGTTGTGCCCACTCTCTCCTTGTTTTCTCCAGCCCCTACCC